ATTTTTGTATTTTTAGTAGAGATGAGGTTTCACTGTGTTGTCCAGGCTGGTCTCAAACTCCTGACCTTAGGTGATCCATCCACCTTGGCTTCCCACAATGCTGGGATTACAGGCATGAGCCACCGCACCCAGCCTCACAAACTACCAGGTTCGGAAAGCTCAGAGTGTCACCTAAGGTTGGCTTTTCATTTTACAGTCAGACATGCAGGAAAGAAATCATCCCTTGGTTCCATTTCTGAGACTCTTATACCTTAACTGGCCCTGAATGGCCAAAATTTGAAGCTGGCACCCTCAAGCTGCTAATTACCTATAAGATATTCAGTCTCTCTTCTGTCCATCTTAATTCAAAATACAGTTGAAAATTTGGAATTATTTTAGGATGAAAGTGTTGCTGGTTTTGATGGCATAGCACGTGCAAGAGTATGAGGTAGTCATACTCAGCTCCAAACCCTGCTCTGTGCAGCAGATGGCCAACCCTGGTGGTGCATACCAGCCATGCAGTGCCTGCCATGGTTGTCTGAATATACATATTGTTCTGTCCCAGGAAGGAGTATTCTAGGGCACCCTCTTGCAGGACTCAGATTCATCCTGCAGGCAATGATGAATGAGAGCTTTTGTCTTGGAGTCTCATAATTTAAGTGCTTCAGTATGTGTCTGGAATTTAAGAATGACATTGCCTTCAGTTCTGTAATAGAAATGTGCTGTGGCCACACCTTCTTGATTAATCACTAGTCTTTTTTTTTTGAAATGGAGTCTTGCTCTGTCGCCTAGGCTGGAGTGCAGTGGCGTGATCTCGGCTTACTGCAACCTCTACCTCCTGGGTTCAAGTAATTCTCCTGCCTCAGCCTCCTGAGTAGCTGGGACTACAGGTGCATGCCACCATGCCTGGCTAATTTGTGTGTGTACGTGTGGTTTTTTTTTTTTTTTTTTGAGATAGAGACTCGCTCTGTAGCCCAGGCTGGAGTGCAGTGGTGTGATCTTAGCTCACTGCAACCTCCGCCTCCTGGGTTCAAGTGGTCCTTCTTGCCTCAGCCTCCCGAGTAGCTGGGATTACAGGAGCCTGCCACCACGCCTGGCTAATTTTTGTATTTTTAGTAGAGACAGGGTTTCACCATATTGGTCAGGCTGGTCTCGAACTCCTGACCTCCGGTGATCCACCCACCGTGGCCTCCCAAAGTGCTGGGATTACAGGTGTGAGCTACCACGCCCGACCTAATCACCAGTCTTGATTGACATGGCTTCCAGTGTCCCTTTCTCCCTTACTGTTCTCTTTTGGTCTACTCTATTGAATTGGAGCCTGCTGTCCTTCATAGCGCTCTCTGCAAGTCTGTTTGTCCTACCAGTTGGAGGACCGCTGACTTGATGTCAGGCTCCTGGGTAACTAATACCATATACAGTATTAGATTGACTGTTACTGTTGTAAATGTACCCCCAGGCCTGGATAATTGTTGCATGCTCTAAGTCAAAATACTACTGTCTACCCTGGCTGGGCCCTGCCCTGCCCTGCCCTTCTTTTCCCTGCCCTGCCCTTCTTTTCTCTACCCTTTCCTTTTCCCTTCTCTTCCCCTTTCCCTTTCCTTTCCTTCTTTTGTTTTGTTTTTGTTTTTGTTTTTGTTTTTGTTTTTTTTTTGAGACAGTGTCTCACTCTGCTACCCAGGCTGGAGTGCAGTGGCATAATCATGGCTCAGTGCAGCCTTGAACTCGGGCTGAAATGATTCTCCTGCTTTAGCTTCCCAGGTAGCTGGGACCACAGACATGCACCACCATGCCCAGCTAATTTTTAAATAAAAAAAATTTTTTTTGTAGAGACAGAGTCTTGCTTTTTTGCCTAGGCTGGTCTTGAACCCCTGAGCTCAAGGGATCTTCCTGCCTCAGCCTCCGAGAGCCACCACACCTGGCGGACTCTGTTCTTTAGTGGTCGTTATTTAACCATAAATTGGCCCCTGAGACCTACTACACTTCTGGCTTTGGGAAGATAGCCTAGGTTGATATTCTTTAAATATAAGAAAATTCATAATCTTAAATTCTTCTGTCATAGTTCATAAAGCTATGCGAAGGTCCCGAAAAGGTCCTAGGATAGACCTGAGCTGTATAGTAGCTATAAAAATATCCCAAACTCTGTCCTCAAATTGTATCTTTTGTTTTCCTTTATTCCTGATTCTTTTTGTACTTTTCACAAGCTGTCACTATGTTCCTTCTTTTGTTTGCTTTCCACACATCTTTGAGTTGGGTGAGCTGATACCTAGTCTCACTTCTGTCTTTAAAAAATATGATCTTGTGGCTGGGTACAGTGGCTCATACCTGTAATCCCAGCACTTTGGGAGGCTGAGGCGGGTGGCTCATTTGAGGTGTTCAAGATAATTCAGGAGTTCGAGACCGGCCTGGCCAACATCGTGAAACCCTGTCTCTACTACAAATAGAAAAATTATCTGGGTGTGGTGGCACGCACCTGTAGTCCCAGCTACTCAGGAGGATGAGGCAGGAGAATCGCTTGAACCCAGGAGGCAGAGGTTGCAGTGAGCCAAGATCACACCACTGTACTCCAGCCTGGGCAACAGAGCGAGACCCTGTCTCAGAAAAAAGTAAATCAAGGTAGACTCATGAGAGGGGAACCCACCTTTTTTTTTTTTTTTTTTTTGAGATGGAGTCTGGCTCTGTCGCCCAGGCTGGAGTGCAGTGGCACGATCTTGGCTCACTGCAATCTCTGCCTCCCGGGTTCAAGTGATTCTCTGGCCTCAGCCTCCTGAGTAGCTGGGATTACAGGCACTCGCCACTGTGCCCAGCTAATTTTTGTATTTTTTGTAGAGATGGGGTTTCACCATCTTGACCAGGCTGGTCTCGAACTCCTCATCTTAAGTGATCCACCCGCTTCGGTTTCCCCAAGTGCTGGGATTACAGGTGTGAGCCACTGCACCTGGCTAGGAGCACACCTTTAAGACTAAAGTTTTTAACCAGGGTTCTATATTATCTTTATAGGCCTAATTATATCTAATTATATCTTTAACTCTGTATGCCAGGGGCATGATGTGGGTCTGACTTAGATTCACATCTGTGAAGTACTGTGCAGCAACATTGCCCTTCCTCTGGAAAGCTGACCCTTCCTCCACTCTGAACTACACAGTGCCATTTGCCCAGGACATTGAAGTTCATGGAATATCATAGAGATAAAGGGCATTCTATGGGGGCATTTTTTTCAATCTTTTTTTTTACCTTTTTTTTTTTTTTGAGATAGAGTCTTGCTCTGTTGCCTACACTAGAGTGCAGTGGTGCAATCACGGCTTACTGCACCCTTGACCTCCTGGGCTCAAGCAGTCCTCGCTTCAGCCTCCTGAGGAGCTGGGACTATAGGTGCACACCCCCATGCCCAGCTAATTTGTAAAATTTTCTATGCAGACAGGGTCTCACTATGTTGCCCGGGCTGGTCTCAAACTCCTGGGCACAAGCCATCCTCTTGCCTTGGCCTCCCAAAGTGCTGTGATTAAAGGTATGAGCCACTGTACCTGGCCCTCATTTAGTTCATTTTTACAACTTTTTTGAAAAGATCATTTATTTCAGATAGATGAAAATTTTATTTGAAAACTTCCAAAGAATAATATTGCTCTAACAGCCCACTGCTTTATTCACTTGCTGTAAAAGACAAATCATTCAGAATTCCTTATGCTGTGGTAAAAGTTGGTTTCCTTCGTGGGCATTGGGGCCACATGATCATTATCCATTTTTGATTAAAGCCTGAATCTTTTATTTTCTTCCCAAATTTTATGGGAGTGGGTGGATGGTCCTGGTAATTTTTATTCCATTTCTAAACTCCTTTGAAACTTAGATAGAAGGGAGTGACTTCATGTAAAAGTCTTGGAATTCAGTCT